AACAGGAAATAAAGCTGCAGTACTGAAGCACACAATCAGCAAAAACTATAGTACTGTACAAGAAGCCACCATGAGGTTGCACTGTCACTCGTGTTCCTGCACTGTGCGTATGAATGTGGGTCATAAATCCAAACACCACAGCTGAGTAGTAAGTCCGGGAGTCAAACTTGTCATCGTTATATATCCTCGTTATACGAGGAATATTTATAGTCATGTAACGGTAGCGAAGTTTTGCTTGATGCTACAAAAGACTATGTTTCAAGATTTTTTTAGAGTAGTCAAAAATAACACTGTTTTCCATACTGATGTGTAGTTTCGACACTGTAAAAGGAAGTGGAGTTTGGAGTCAGCTCTCACTGGCATGCTATCAAACCCAAAGTGTGCTATTTCAGAAATGGTGCATTACATGGGAGAAGGCGTGGGGTGTGCTCCGGGACACACCACTAGGAGTGGACGTTGAGGTTCAGACTCAGCCCCTTGGAGGGCACGTAGGGCTGGGCTCTGCTGAACGCACTTTCCCTCCAGTCTAAGCAAGGCCATCTTGGTGACGGAGTATGAGAGACGAGATGCCTTTGTAAGAAACACTCAAGGATGGGAACGACACTTATCCCAACAGCACAGGCGCCTTGGGAAGCATCATTTGTGGAAACCATAACATTACTGTCAGAGCATCTGCACCCCAAATCCTCCCCTTGGCCTCTTCTTCCCCCACAAAACCAGGGGCCTTACCAGTGTGACACAGTGCTCTGCTCTGTCAGAAGAGCTGCCCGCATCAGCAGCAGCTCTTTCTGGGGGTGTCTTTGTTTGTTTATTGATTTACAGCCCTCCTTTGTAAAGGGGGGCAAATCTGAGTCCCTTGTGTAAATCGGTGCCATGCTGGGGCGTATCCTATGTGTCTCCTCCCATGTATTTTAAGTCACCTGTAGGTCACTTACAGTACCTTGTGTCAATGCTGCATAAACACTTGTCACACTGTGTTTGGGGGAAATGACAGGAAAACAGTCTGTACATTTCAGCACAGACACAGATTTTTATCTGAATATTTCAGATGAGCTGTTCGAATCCAAGAATGCACGACCCACTGCATTTTAGGGTTGAATACTCTTAAGCTAAAATCTAGGGGCCGATGACGAGCAGCCTCGGGTGGGTGTCCTCCTATGGGTGGTTGGTGCCTGTGCTCTTAAGCCACTTTGCTTTCTCTGACTCGCAGATCACTGAGTCCTTCAGCGGTCGTGAAGCCCTGCGTTGGAATCACCTTTTCTGTTACTTGATTAAATATCGCCCCTCATTACCTTGGAGCCTTTTAATGAATTTCAGTGCCTACTGCGGCTGCCATTTAAAGATTTTAGAAGTCAGTTAAGAAAATCTTCATGCTGTAGATAGAAAAGGAAAAGGAGCATTTGAAAATTATTCCTAGAAAATTTACACAGATTCTTTTTTTCTCCTGTGATCCTGTTTCAACCCAGAACTACTTCATTCATCTAACTTCTCTTCCAGATTTTACTTCCACCATTGTAAACTTTCGTTTTTCTGTCCCTTGAGGCTTTTCGGTAAACACTTTTCCATTTTGCAATCTATTTTGTTTTTGGTGTTTATGTTCCATACTCCATCAGATTGATATTTCACAATTTATTGCTCATTCCTTTAGTGCTGGACATTAAGCTTATTTCCATTTTCTCTCGATTATAAATAATGGGAGCAAGAACATCTTTATATATACAGCTTTCTTCCTATGTTTGAATTATACTGTAGGATAAATTCCCAGGAGTGGGATTAGTGGGTCAGAGGGTCTGAGCAGCTTTATGGCTCTTAATATTTATTGCTAGATCGCCTTAAGGGTCATTCTAATTTACAGTACCACCTGCAACACTGAGGCATGTCTGTCCTGCCAGCCTTGCACTGGCCTCTCCTATTCTCTAGTTAGGGAAAAATTTAGTAGTATGAAAGGATAACTTGTTAATATGTTTATTGGTAATTTCTTTAATTATCATCAATACTGACCATTTTTTCAGCAGTGTGTTTCTTATATTCTATTTTGGTTTGATTTTTTTATCAGAGGATTATATTTTTTGATACCCCATAGAATTTGAAAATATTTTAGGATGAAGATGCCACACGCCCTCAGAACAGAGAGACTAATCAAAGGCCAATAGACTCTAGCCAGGTGCAACAAATAGCACGGCTGTGCCATATTAGCTTTACGTATTAATTTTATCCTCTTTTCTTTCTTCCATGTAGCATTTTAAGCAAAACACAGACATTCTGCCTGTGTTTCCTATATGTATCACTGTGTATCTCTAAAGCATAAACATTTATATAATTACATAGTACCATCATCACGCTTAACCAGACTAACGATGATTCTTTGGTATTGTGCAATGCCAGCCTGTGATAAAAGTTTCCAAAATGTCTTTTTTGATGCTCTGTTCTCATCAGCACACATTATGATTATGTTTGGTTGTTAAATTCTAACGTGTCTTAATCCAGGGATGCCACCCCATGCCCCGCCTCTGCTTTACCCCTATAGGGACACTGTAGGAATTGAAGACAGCATCGGGCATGCCCAGGTGGTATGGCTGTAGACAGTTCTCATGTTCTGGAGTTGATGTTTTGTTCCTGTGTTGGCTCTCGAAGCTTGAGTAGCTCAAGCTGTGTTTGGGGGAGGGCAAGAATACCTTATGGCTGTGCTTCAAGTTGAGTCACTTTGGAGCAGGCGCTGGCTGCTAGTTCCCCTTTGGGTGATGCCGGTGTACGTGGAGTGATGGTGATGGAGTACGTGGTGGAGTACGTGGTGATGACCCAGGGCAGAGCCGTGATGCCCCTCATCAGCGCCCACCCCACCATTTTATCTGTGAATGTTTGAATCAGTGTTCCACAGGGATTGCAAGATCACAGTTTTCTTACTCTGTCATTCTCTCCCATTGATTAACCAGAATTCTTCAGTAAAGTAAAAGCTTTCCCTCATAAACAAGATTGTATGTGTAAATGCAGAGATTGTATGGTCTCCAAGTGCAGTCTGCACAAGATGAATGCTTCACTTTTTTCTTCAAATTGCTGGTGCTCAGTCAATTCCAGTGGTATCCAATGAATTTTTGCTTGTTTTTTTCTTGTTTAAGAATTATGAAATATTCATGTTCTTCAATAGTTACATATTCCATGTGTTTTATCAGTTACAATTATTCTTTTTGGTGCTAAATTGTCCTACCTTTGGCCCAAGAAGAAGCCATGCCTGTCCTTGTTTTTAGATATTTCTAATTCATTTAGTTTATTTTTTGCCCCAGAATGGGCCAATCTTCAAAGATGTCCTCTGTTTTAAGTGAAAAGTGATAAACACCCACCATAATCTGGATATGTTATGTTATTATTCCTAGGTTCTTTCTCTCAGTGAGCTGAGTATGAACACATATTTCACAAACAAATAAAAAATTTCTAATTCATATTATTTCAAATTTAACATTTTTTTACTGCTTTGATTTTGTACTTGTATTTCTTTCTTACCTTAACAATTCTACTACAGTAGATATCAAATGGTTTCAAAATAACAGTGTCAGGACTCACAATTTTCCTGCTGAAGGAGAGATTTCTTTGCAGCTCTATTTATCCTTAGAGTATACTTTGCTAAGCATAGCAAATTACCTTGTGGTAACAAAGCTTGAATGCTTTTCACCAATTTGACATCACAGTTAAGCTGCCTTATTTTAGTTTGTCATCAACTTTTAGCATTTACAGTTTGCTTTTTGTTTAATTTTATCTTCTGGATCTGTAAAGTAGGCTTTCAAAGTTAAACCTACATAATGTTATCACTTAAGTCTTTCATCTAGTCTGTCTCTCCATTAAGTCTTTCCTCTCCCTGTTGATAAATATTACTAATTATGGTTTCATCTTTATAGTGTTTCCTATGCAAATATGCATGCATTTCTACATCCCTACCTGCTTTACACCAAAGCTAGAGTACTACACGTATGTCAGTATATGTATGTTACCTCAGTGTCTGAGTCACCTTACTCAGACCCCACTGTTAGGCTGTGCTCAGTTGAACCAGCCGCTTAACTCATAGAGTTTTGTACTGTTTTGTGTTTCCTGAAACACAAAAACTCTGTGTCCAAGTCGCTTTTTATTTTGGCCAGTGCGTCTTTGGAGTGTGTTCTAGAAATGGGATTGCTAAGTCAAAGAGTGAACGCGTATGTCCTTTGCTGGATATTGCCAGGTTCCCTTCCGTAGGAAACATGTCCTTCTGCGCTTCCACAGCGATTGTGCCTTTCTGCTACACAGGTGCTTAACGCCGGTGTTCAAGGTTGTTAGAAAGTCAGTGTGCTGTTCCTGAACCTACATACTGTTCTCACTGTTGTCTAAGACGTGGCCTGGTTCAGAGAACCTCCGGTCCATCTAGGAAAACATGGAGCACGAAGGGAAGGAAAGGCAAGAGGAGTCCAGGATGGAGCACAGTGTACAGTCAGAGGTGGCAGCCCAGGGCGGGTCTGTAGGCAGCCGTGCTCCTTACCTCAGGGCTCATGAGTCTGTGGCCCTCTGACTTTCATTAACACTTGCGGCGATCCTCTCCCCAATCCAAACCTTTTGATCCTGGTTGAACAGATATGAGTGCACCAACAATAGTAACAGAATGGATGTTTGAAATGCAGGCTGCCTGATAAATGCAAGCCAAAGAACGATTTTTTTGTGATTTGTAGCTGCATTTCTCAATGCAAGTCCCTGGGTTGCCTCTGGCCCGTCATTCAGGGTCACAAATTACCCTCAGTGTGGAGGTGCTGGGCTGAAGGGCCCTAGCAGGATGGACCCCGAAAGTGCCGCTGACCCTGTCTCCCTCAGTCGCAGCAGGCCTCTTCCCCAGAGCATCTCAGATCAGCGAGGTTCCAAGGGGCACGGAGAACCTGTGTGCAGGTTCTGTTCAAATGATGATCAGGGGGTCCTCTCCCCATAATTCACTTGTTCTTATACAAGTCTACATTTTTATTAATAATTTTTCATTTGTTTCTTTCTAGATTGAATCATTAAAGAAAAAGGTGCAACAGAAACAGCTCTTGATACTGCAGCTTTTAGAGAAGATATCTTTCCTAGAGGGAGAGGTAAGAATGGTGGCTGCAGTCGGTGTCTTCTCTGCCGGTACATTTATGTGGCAGAGCTGCCGCCTGACACTTAATTAAGAGTGTGACACTTTCCTGGCCTTGTAAAATTGACCGCAGGTTAACTGCCAGCTCTCCCTTTTGCTTTGCTGTCTCACTCTCCTCCCTCCAGCTTGCTGTTCCACTGTGCCTTTTGGCTCTACCTCGTCTTGGTGAAGAGTTTTCTCAGCAAATCCAAGAAGCACTGTTGACAATTGCCCACCTTTGTGTGGTGCTTTGCAATTTGTAAAGCCTTCTCATTCTTCATGCGATTTTCTCAGCGCCTTTAAGAGAGGCAAGACGGGTTATTATCTCTGGATGAGCAACCGAGATGGAGAAAAACTGGTCTTGCCCAGGGTCACCTGCTTAATAAATGCAGGAGCCCAGCGAAAAGTGGACTCTTAATACAGTGCTCTTCTGTATGTTTAATAAACACGTTTTAGAGCTGACTTAATTTCTCCTAAAACTTTAGGATGCTTAACGTTCTTGACTCTCTGGCTTTTTGGAAGTCATTTCGAGATTTTGCACAGGTTCCGGAGATGGAAATTATGGGCTTGGAAGAACCTTAGAAGGTGAGGGATTCATAGAAGGAGATGCCAAAAATCTACTTGCTCTAAAGGCTTTTTATTAAGAACTTGGCGTTGAGCCTCTTCCTTTCAGGATGACGTGGAAAGCTGGTCTGCCAAGTGCCTGTCCTTGTCGGTGTCCCTCATAGCGTCCTTCCCCAGCCGGGGGGCCAGAGGCAGCGGTGCAGCGGGGGGAAAGGAAGAAGCGACGTTTATGAAGTGCTGAGTGGGGGGCATTGCTAGTTACTCCCCATGTGTTCTGTGTAGCGCAGACGTTCAGGGTAGGAGCAGACTTACCCAAGCATGGATGCTGGGTCTGCTGCTCTTTAGCTAAGTGATGCTGCAGGAGGCTCCTTATGATCATAAGACGGGGACCCTCGCTGCACTGCTGTGAGTGAGACAATGACATGCAAATGTCTGGAAAGTGGTTGGCACATACTAAGTGCTCAATTTTAACTGATTGTTGTTGCTCTCTCTTTATGAAGAGGAACACCCTCCACATTTGATTATATCCCCATTTTATAAATGGGGAAACTGAGGTTCAGGGATGTTAGGATGTGCCCAAGGTGACGGCAGAGATGGGTACGCCTGCATCCTTGACACCCTGTTTGCTGGGTCTTCGTTCACTCTGCTCTTGGCAGCAGTCTAACCAGAAGCCCCTCCTGGCCCACAGGTATCAGGGTCAAGGCCCAAGAGTCTCCGTGTCTCGAACCTGAGCGTTTTCCAGTGCCCATTCCTCCCTCTCCTTTGTGTCCCCGAGCCCAGTCCTAGGGATGATTGGCAGGGGTCACGCTTGCTCCTCCAGAGTGCTGTCCTGGCCGGGACCCACGGGTCTGGGCCAGGAGCGGGGAGAGACGTCCACAGGCAGAGCCAGCATCAGGCTGGGACGCCCAGCTCTGGACTGCACACCTGCTTCTCACACGCAGGCCCCCGGCCCCCAGCAGTGCGGCTCTGCTCCTTCCAGAGCCGTGGATTCCAGGCTGCATGGAGGGTCCCTGAGCGGCTTCTGCCTGACCTGCAGGCTGACATTAACTGTGGAGCAGATCTGTGTACACTGGACTCGCACTTTCCCTTGGAGATCCTGTCGTTAAGATTGCACTGGTGTAGCCATTCTCTCAGTCCCATACTTTTATCCAAGGGTTCCGGGTTTGGAGCCTGACTCCTGCTTTTGTTGTAGGACTTTTACCTCTTTGTGCCTCAGTTTCAGCGTTTGTGAAATGGATATAATCACTTGGAAAGACTTTTACAAATAGCAAATGAAGCAGTGCACGCAGAACGCTTGGAGCAGTGCTTGATGCAGCGTGAGCAACTGATGAATGTTCCTTCTTTCTTGATTTCTTGGCGTTTTGGAGACTTAGATTCTTAGCTACCTTCTGTCATTTTCCATTTGGGACGCTGAGCATCTTGGTTACTTTTCTTGTTGCTGAGACAAAATACCTGATGCCCAAAATGAAGGAAGGAAAGGTTTATTTACTCACAGTTGTGGAGGGTTCAGTCCACAGTTGGCTGGCTCCAAGGCAGCATGGCATGGCAGAGGGGTATCGCAGAGGAGAACTAGTTTGTGGCAGGCAGAAGCAGTGACCCTCTTTCTGTCCTTATATCCTGTCCAGACTCACCCCACAATGGGGGAGCTTTAGTCCCAGCATCACATCCTTGATGCAGCATCACGCACCCTAGACCAGGCCACTGCCAAAAGCCCCACCTGTGGGCACACGAGGCTTTGGGGGACGTCCAGACGCAGCCACGACAGTGGGCAGACAGCACCACTAACAGCGAGGCTCAGTTGCTTCACCTTTAGAAGGGAGGAGAGCAGGGCAGCTCCAGGATCGTCTCTGCATTGCTGTTATTTTTAGGGTTTGAAAACTTGGTTGGATTTTTTTCCTCCAGATCATCTGAGGACATTCAGTCAACAGCCCAGGAGCAAACTCTGTACCTGGTCATGGACTTACCGAGAAGGCGTGGCTCTTCCGTAGGTCACGCCTGACAGTCAAAGACCCTTATTTTCTTTTGAAAGAGAATATGGATTAACATTCCTTGGGTTCATCATTGCTTCCTACCTATGGTTTTGTTGTGCTTTTTGTTTTGGGGGTTCTGGGGAGGGACTCCAGGGCCTTGTGCATGCTAGACAGTCATTCTCCCTCTGAGCTACATGTCCAGCCCCTTACTCTGTTTAAAGTCTTTAGAGTTGATACACGCGCACGCGCGCGCACGCACACACACACACACACACACACACACACGCACGCACAGCTCAAAAACACGCACTAGATTCCTAAACGCTTGCTCTTGCCTGGCCCTGTCAGATTCTGTTTTTACCAACTAATTTACAATCTTCCTGGTAACAAAAACACGCCTCTTCTTTTTTTAGCAATGTTTTTATTTACTCCCCTTCTAGAGAAGGAATTTCGCTATTTCTGATACTAAAAAATACTTCCAAAATAAAACAGGAAGCATATATATCTTCATGAGGTTGATCAGCTTTCTGATACGCATCCCGTTCCGTTTTTCTCTGCGGCAAATCCTCAACTCACAGCGAAGCCGGTGGCAGAGCAGAGGAGAGGAGAGGCGGGGAGGCGCGTCCTGGTTTCGTGCGTCCTGCGCGTAACGTGTGCTGCGCGGCGCGTAGACCCCTGGCGTGCCTGCCGTGCGCGGCTGGGGGCCGCTGACTTGCCCGTGCTGCGCTGGGGCTGCGGCACAGGCACCGCTGCTCCCATACACATTTTATTGCGCACCGTTTCTATTTAACGTGCGCTGCGGCTCCTGGCCACGGACTCCCCTGCGCCGAAGGCGGAGGTGACTGCCGTACATTTGTGACGTTATTTCCCCAACGTGCCCGAAGCAGCGCACCAGGGTCTGCCTCCCTCGGAGGCGCACAAGCCTCCCGGCCGCGGGCGGGGTCCGTTATCCGTGCGGACGCAGGGTGGTGGTGTTTGAAAGCCGGAGCGGCGACGGCTTGGTGCTCAGTCCCGGGGAATCCTCTGTGTGGTCTGCACCTCTCCACGCTGGTCGGCGGGGCTGGGAAGCAGGTGGTCTTTGTTTTCCTGCGTCGGGTCCCGTGGACTTGATTTTTAAGGTATTCCCTCTCTCTGTCCCTCCCTCTTTCGATCCTCAGCTACCACAGTTTGGTCCCATCATCTGCTAGTTTTTCCCTTAGCAACTTTGTTGTGCAAAGTTTACACAAATAAACTGCCGCTGTTCAAAGTGGTACAGGGTGAGTATCCTGTATTTTAAAAGATGAGATCGGAGGTATTTAGGTCCTAGGGCTTTTTGTTTTTGTTTTTGTAATATCTGCAGAGACTTTATTGGTTGAGTATACCTATTCAAAAAATCCAAAATTGGAAATACTCCAGAATCTGAAACTTTTTAAGCATCAAGACAGTCCTGAAAAGTTTCAGACTTTTAAGCATTCTGGATCTAGAATTTTTTGTTGTTGTTTTGTTTTTGTCTTTTTTTTTTTTTTTTTTGAGAGAGAGTTTCAGAGTTCAGACTGGCTTTGAACTCACTTTGTAGCCCAGGCTGGCCCCGAACTCACAGCCATCCTCCTGCCTCAGCCCCCTGCGCGTGCTGAGCCACCACACCCGGCCCAGGATTTTTGGATTAGAGATGCCTAGTAGCACCTGTGAACAGCCACCACCTTACAGATACAGAGCATGTCTATCACCAGCAAAGCTTCTATACCTACCAGGCATGCCTGTGGGATCCCTCTTTGTCACTGCAGAGCTGTCGGCATTTTATGTAGATGGGATCGCCGTTAACACTGCTTTGTGTGTAGCTCCTTTTATTCGGCATAACGGTTTGGCGCGTCTAAGTCGTGTGCAGTCCTTCTCCTTACAGCGTAGTGATCGTCCCCTGGGTATGTCAGCGTATCCATCCACTCGCTGATACACATTGGAGTCATCTCCAGTTCAGGATTGTGGTGAATAGCTGCTATGAGCGTTTTTGTACAGGTCACCGTGTATATCTACGTTTTTATTCCTCATGGATAAAATCCTAGTAGTAATGCAATAGCTGTGAGGGAGGTGTAGGTTTTCTTTTCTTTCTTTCTTTTTTGGCTTTTTGAGACAGGGTCTTGCTCTGCAGTTCAGGCTGGTCTTGAGCTCACTTTGTAGCCCAGGCTGGCCTCGAACTCGCAATGATCCTTCTGCCTCAGCCTCCTGAGTGCTGGGATTACAGGCGTGCGCCACCATGCCCAGCCAAGTTTTTCTTTTAAGAGACCTGTCAAACAGTTTTTCAGAGTGGGTGTAGCATTTTATCCCCCAGCAGTTCCTGGTACCAGTTTCTCTACATCCTCATCTACTTTTGGAAAATGTAGCCTTTTCCAGGTGTGTGTAGTGGTATCTCATTATGGTTTTAATTGGCATTTCTTTGGTGACTAGTGATAATTCAGCATCTCACTGAGCATCTTTTGATATGTTTATTGACCATTTACAGCTCTTATTTTTGAAGTATCTGTGCAAATCTTTTGCCCTTTATTATACTAACTATTCTATTTAACTTTTACTGATTGTAAAAATTCTCTTCCCCGCAGGGGGTCTCGCTAAGTAGTTCAGCCTGGCCTTGAACTTGTTACGAATGTAGTCCAGGCTGGCCTCACATTCATGTTGATCCTCCTGCCTCAGCCTCCCAAGTGCTGGGATTACAGGCCTGTGTCACCACACCAGGCTTGGGTTTTATTTTTGAGAAAGTTCAACTAATCATTTTTTCTTTTATGATTTATGTTTTTTGTGTTCTGAGAGCTCTTTGCCGACTGCAGGTCTGCAGAGATCTGCTCCTGTTATTTCCTCTAGGAATCCGAGATGCGCCACTTCCTTTTCCCTTTTCTTCCTTGCTCCTCTCTCCCTTCCTCTTCTCTCTCCGTTTTCCTCTCCGCTTCCCTCTTTTCGGAGCAGCCTAATGAGGGGGTTATCGAGTTCACTGATTTTCTTTAAGAATTACAGTAGCTTGTGGCTTTGTTGATTTTTTTTCTATTGTTCCTGTCTGGTTTTTGTTTTATTGGGTTTTGCTAAGGTATTCCTTCTAATTATTTTGCGATTACTTTGCTCTTTTTCTTTTCTAGCTTGTTGGGATAGAACCTTGGGTAATTGACGTTAGATGTTTCGTCTCTGTTAGAGCCATAAATGTCTTTGCTAGAGCCTAAATTCTCCTTCAGCTGCACTGCTGCATTGTATTTTCATGAACATCCAGTTCAAAGTATTTTCTAATTCCTGTGAGATTTTTCTTTGATTTTTGGGTTGTTTAGGAGCATTCTCTTCAACTTATCTCTTCTCACCTAATTTCACATGCTGCCTGATATGCACTAGTTTTTTGCTGATTGCATTAAATTGCAAGGATATACCTTTTTAAAAAATTGCTGTGCTGCTGTGGGTGACTGATGTGCACACAGCATTCCCATGAAAAAAAGAGGATTTGGGGTCAGGTATCCACTATTCACTGTGTCCCAATTGGGGTGTGTTTGCTAACTGTATCTCTCATGCCCCTCACAGTAGGTCCTAGACCCGGTGTTCTGTGAAGTCCTCATGATTGCAGTCCTTACTTCATGGCTGAGAAGCGATATGGCCATGGGGTTGCTAGAGCTCCCAGCAAGGGCAGACTTCCTTCGCTTTCTCTCTCCTTGTGAGTGGGAGAGCACAAGTATTTCCAGGGAAGCTGTGTGTGCCGTGAAGGATGAAGTTTCCTAGCAGGAAACCAACACTATACCACCATCTATCCTGAGAATAGGGGAGTTGATACAGAGCCCAAAGATCTAAGCTTGTTAGCAGCTAGGGAGTTTGGAATGTATTCTCTTACACCACTTCCTGTCTATCAGCAGGGATCCATAGTTTTTATGCTACTTCCTGTTTATCCAAAGAGATCCACAGACTAATCCCACAGAACACAGGTTTGTTGGAGAGTATGGCTTTACTTCTTGGCATCACTTACTCAGAGGGGAGCCACTGAGCTGTAAGCCACGTTCTCTCTTTCAAGGCCTTAGCTACTGTTTCCATAGAACTTCTACTTTTCCACGTGCTACCTAGTGTCCTGCACCAGTGCCTCAGCTTTGACTCCATGTAAAGAGAAGAGAAAGCAAATGCTTCATATTTCCTAGTTACACAAATGACACACTCATTGTAAAATTATTTAAGTGTTTATTTATTTGATAAATTTTACCTTATGTCTCCTGCGTGTCAGGCTTCATGAATTCAGCCAGGAAGATAGATATGGTCATTACCTATGAAAAATTAATATACATGTGTTATTCATAGATATAATTATATATATGTGTTTAAAGGCATCTAAAAACCTTAATACAGAAAGATAACCATAGTTGGTGTCTTCCTGAAAGTTTTCTTGCCCTAAAAGTTTAAGATACCATCACTTCATCCATGTTCATTTCAGTACCTTAGCTTTCTTGCTCTTTTGTTGTTCATTTTCCCCACAGGGCAAATTTCCAATTCCTGAGCATCTAATCATTCACCTCTGTAATGTTTGGCTCTGGCCTGAAAAAAAAGAAAACTATTCAAAATGCTAATTTTAGTCCCAAGGAGCCTATTCTATTTTATATGTTTGAGATTCTGAATTTTCCACACCTATGAAATACTAATTATTAAGTTATAGAGGTATTTCCCACTAAATTAAATTAATAGAGTCACTCATTTTATAGTTTTAATGAGAGAATGTTAAATGTTGAGCTGTGCTTTGTTTATAAAGGCAAAAAGCGATAAATATCTAAATTCCCATCAATAAGATTCATGCAATGGAATGCTATGAACCAATTAAAATAGTTTGTTGATATAAAAAGAAAACTAATGAACTGGAAAGATATCTACAATAAATTGTTGACCAAAGAAAAAGCACATTATACTATGTGCAGTAGGATATGTATGTATAGTGTATGTACTAGGATATGTTGTTTTCATTTATATAAAATTTCACTTATGTAAAATTGAATATACATGATGTGCACATACAGGAAACTGTAAGGATTTGGTTGCTGTGTTTCTTCAACTTCTGCGTATGAGATGCTCAATACGTACATTATTTTGTTTGAGTAAGGAGCTACATGTCATGGAATCATGGGAGAAATCAGGTGACACGTGTAGACCGTATCATGCATATTTGTGGGGGAACATGTTTGGTTTTCTAACAGTACTTTTTCCCTCCTTTCCAGAATAATGAACTTCAAAGCAGATTGGACTATTTAACAGAAAGCCAGCCAAAGACTGAAGTAGAAACCAGAGAGATTGGAGTGGGCTGTGATCTTCTACCCAGGTATTTAGGAATTTCCTGTTTTTCTCACTCAAATTCTTCTCTGATTTAAGAAAATACTTTACTGGAGTGTTACTAACAGAATTGCATTCTTTCTACCAAGAATGTTTCTGCAGATCTAAGGGTGGCTGTGAGGGCTTGAGCAGGTTTTTGTGGGAACAGGTACATTGAGCAAGGGACCATGGGTAGGGAAGGCGGGACCAGGCAAGGCCACTGCAGAGGGGCACTGGCCTCCTCAGTGAGTGTGTGCGTTTGTTCATTCATTCATGTCTGCAGCAAATGTCCACAACTACCTTCCTGTCCCCAACAGTTATGCTGCCGAGATGCGTGGGTCCTGCCCACGGCAGAGCCTGGAGGGACAGACAGACAAGCGAGAACTGTGTGAGAGGGCATGCGAGGCACCTTCATGGTACAGCAGAGGCAGGGTCTGAATCTGGGGCAAAATTCACCTGTCCCCAGAACTGCGGCGGGTCCTGGGAAGCAGTGGGTCCGGCTCGTATGTAAACGATGTGCTTCTGTTACCCACACACACGTGACAGCAACAGCCCGGCTCACGCAGTTGTCCCCGGGCGAGGCTTGGGTGCCCCCGAGACGTGAGTTGGGGCCCGGGAACCTGCCCTCCGAGACTCACTCTGTGTTTCTAGGTGCATTCAGTGTGCGTGGCCTAGGGGTCATAAAACAAGCTTACCTCAAGGGTGCTCACACATGACTTACAGTTTAGGTGATTGGGGTCACAAAATTCCTGTATGTCTTGTGAGCAGGAGGGGACTTCGGTAGGTAAGGGTATTCGTGGGTGCTGTGCTAGGCATGAGTGGTCTAGAAAAACGAATCCTGGATCCTTGAGTGGTTCCATCTGGAGGAGAGTGATGAGCCCGTCGCCGTGCTGAGGTGTGGAATGTTTGGCTCTGGTGTGCCCCACCAGGAGGTCATTCTTAACAAGCCTCAGCTTCCTGATCTGTAAAGTCAGTGATGCAACCAAGTGACTTCTGAGGTCCCCACCGTTTCTAACGCTAAGACCTCATTTTTTAACTACACTTTAATTCATTACTGATATATATATATTTTTTGCTGCTGTTCAATACTTGATGTTCTCAAAAAACTTACCGAAAGCGAACTAAGCTCTTTCTTTGACAATATTCTCATTTATGTTACTTATTTTCTAGTAAAAAAAAAGGCAATTTTATCATTCTGATACAATTAACTGAAAAATATTTTTAAAAAGAAAGAAATGTGTAAACTCTGGTTCTCCTCAATATGTGGTACAATATACATGATACAAACATAACCAAAAAGAATAGTCGTGTTCAGTGATGCCTTTTAAAATATAAATATTTTAGCCACTTCTCCTTTTTATTTTTCAAGAACCAAGTGGCTTAGTCCACTCTTAATTGCCCACATAATAAATTTTGCTTGGCTAAGACAAGTACAAAACTATGTCTGAAACCAATAAATTGTTTGTTTTCTAATTCCCGAATTTTGGCTTAAAACTAGCTTTTCAATTTGTATGCCCAAGTACAGCCCGAGGCAAACTTTTATGGTGAAGTTATGGAACCACAAAGCGGTTTTCATAATGGAAGTGCTGACAGACCCTTAACTTATGGCCACAGTGAACTTGGAAGCCACTCCAGTGTCTAAAAGCAGCTTTTCCATAAATGTAACCTTTGGTTTCCCCCAGGAGCCCTCTTAGCACTTTAACTGCCTGGGTCAGTCAGCAGAGGAAATGAGGCCTACACTTCCGCACTTCCACCAGGGCAGGGGGACCTTCCCTTCCCTTCCTTACAGTTATTCATGAAGTATCCACTAGGTGAAGAGCACCGGGAGGACCCATGGTGAGGAGACAGGAGCTTTGGAGATACCTGGGCAGGAGTCAGTGGTCCCCCAGCCCCCTGGGCCTCGTGGAACTGCCTGGTGCTGAGCTGGGCTCCAGGAAAGGGCTTGTGCCTGTGGCTGAGGAGGGGGGCCTAGGGACCTCCTCCCTCTCCACAATAGCCCCAGAGTCTGCTTTACATCTTGCTGATCACAAACAAATCAGAACTCCCTGGTGTAGTTGAATCCCCACACCCTCACATATAAATATTGAAGCCCAGAGAGAGAAAGTGCCTCCCCAGCGTAGGGACCAGGCCTCTGCCTCTTGGTGGAGTACATCTGAACTGGAAAACTCAATAAAGAGCGTTACGAAAGGCCCGGCTCTTACCTGGATTTTATACTTGCATTGGAGTAATAAAAGATTAAAAAGTGCTTTCTACAATATTTTTTAAATAGCCTCCTACAGGATATTTTTGATCAATAAAAGTACTGATTGAGCCTCAATTATACAAAGTACCTAGTTCTTACTCCTAGTTCTCCACACAGAGCTCAGCAGGGGCTCCCTACCAAGCAGCTGCCTCCTGACCCAGCCTCGGGCACGTAACTTCCCTGAAGCCTTGGTTCTTTCACACTTAAAATGGGAGTGAAGAGGCTTGTTCAGGTCTCACTGGGCTGCTAATAGGACTGAACGAAAACATTTCATTGTGGTCAGGGTTTGCAAGAGGAACAATTTAATGCAAGACGCAGAATTTATAGGATTGTTGTGTAATAGTCACCCAAAGAGTCAAGTTCAAAAGACTGCAGGAGATCTGTCCACACACTAAAGACCAGAGAATCCAGCTGAGGGCCTGGACCCCATGGCAATGTCCTGCATGAGTCCAGCTGCAGACCCAGAGCCCATGACAGTGCCCCTCACGAAACCAACTGGAGGCCTAGAGCCCACGACCATGTCTCATGCAAGCCTGTCTCAAGGATCTACGCTAAGAAGGCCCCAAGATCAGTGGGGGAAGCTAGAAAGTCTGTGCCAGCATGATGAAGGATCTGTGCCAGCATGCTGAGAGATCATCACTGGAGCCAGGAGGTGATGCTCAAGGTAGCTTCCCCCCAAAGTACCACAGCCATCCTCAGCAACAAAGAGGTCCCGAGCACCTCTGACGATGAGAACAGCCAAGTTGCCATCAGAAAAGCAAGCACAATAAGGAGTCTGAGCAGTGCAACATCCTTCCCTCCAGAGACAGAAAGCAATGCTCAAAGTAAGGACCAGCGCTCCTCCAAAGTGAATCATAGCCGTTCTTAGCGACAACAAGGTTCCGAACTCCTTCGACCATGAAAACAGCCACATTCATATCAGAAAAGCCGGCATGACAAGCTCCTCCAGGAGAACCAACAGCCCCAGGAGCACTAACAGCTCCCAGCGGCACATCTTCTTCACCAGTTCTCCTTTCTATTTTGTTGGCAACAATCCTCAGCTGGGCCTCCCACACCCAGCACCACGCCAGTTCAGTTCAGCTGGGTATTGTTACAAGTTGACCACCGGTTGTCAATCCACCACAGATGTATAAAGCAATTAGCATGAAAACTAGACCAAAGTGAGCACTTGATAGAAATCAACTCTGATGGCCATTAACTAAAACAAAACTCTGGTTTGACATCCAAAATACTGTATCAAATATAAATGAATGTGAGCCTGTTCCGATGATGTTATTAGCTTAACTTTTCCGGTGGTAACTGGTGAATGTAGGACAGGAGCTGATAGTCTAATTGAGCGCATAATCTTTCTGTAGGCACTGGGCTGTTCACTGAACGCCCAGTGGTTTAAAACCTTAGGATGCTGTATGTGCCATCCCACAGACCACGCCTTTCACACACTCCTCCAAGCCACCGCATCCGGCTGCAGCTCAGGCCCGTACACACGTACAGGATAAAGGTGTGCCTCTCAGCTGGGCCGTAGGCAGCAGATCTGCATTATATTATTGAGTCAGTGAAGGTCGCAGAAGAAATGGTTCTTGCTTATGTTTGCCTCTGTTTATTATCACTGCTCACTAGAATGCAAGCTCTGTGTAGGCCGGGGTTTCTGTCCACGTCACCAGCTGCCCTCAGCCTGGGACACCTAGAACAGTTCCTGCAGAGGGTCAGCTTTTGGTCAGTATTTGTCATCTGGAGCCGTCTCCTGGTAACACCCAGTAGCTCTTCCTAAGCAGAACACACTCCCTGCCTCTGGCGCGTGTGGGACTTCTGTCTCCTGGTGCGTTCCTGCCTCCCTGGCCTGTCCTCCTCCATTTTCTCTGATGGCCCCTCTTCCTCCTCCAGGGTCCCCACCACAGGATCTCCTCGTGGTTTTTGTCTTGGTCACAGATGTTTGCGCCTGCTTTTGTAGCTTTTGTAGCCAGCTGCGTTCTCCCAGCCAGTGTCGCTTGATCCTCCTGCTCACCATTTCCGTGGAGTGGTTATGAACCCTGGCTTAGGAGTTAGAGGTGGGGCTGAGTCCTAGAGCTGCCTCCTGCTCCCTTCCCAGCCTCTCGGAGGTTCAGCTTCCGCCCCGTGGAAGGAAGTTGTGGCGGGAATCCTCTCAGAAGCCGGCTGGGAGGGCCCCGGGGAGTGACAAGGGTGGAGAGTCCGGTGCCATGCAGTGTTCCTGCTTCTGTGGGTGCTGCTGCTGCGTCTTAGTTACCTCAGCTCCGCGTCCTGAGGTCACGTCTGAGACAGAGGATTGTTCTGCTCTGAGACGTGTTGCTCTTTCTGTGCTGTCCTTTTCCTTCATGACTTGCCTTAAACCCTTCTCCCTTTCTACTGCTGCCAGCCTTTCCAAGGCCAGTCTTTCCCTGTCAGCCTCTTCAGGACCATCTCCTCCCCCTCTCCCCCCTCCTTGACCTCTGCGCCCCTAGCATCCAAGCTTAGGGTTCCACACCTTTCCAGTAGGTAAGGCCCTCAGAGTGTGGAGAGAGGGCAGCCGCTCGCTGTGAGGTGGGGGCTTTGAAACATCAATCTTATTTTTAAAGACTGAAGAGTTTGGTTTGAAAAGCGTGGTACATGTTGATTAGAGCCACTGAGAACAATTTCAGGTCGTGTGGACTTCATTTACAGAGAAAAGTGAAAGTGCGAAAGAAAAGAGACTTTCTCTTCTTCTGCCCCTTAGTGAACTGAAATGTGGCTCCCAGCGAGTTCATCAATCATGTCCCAACATGCACTTTGGTGAAAAATATTCCTAAGAGTCCTAAGTGCCCGGCACATAGTGCCTTGAAATGCTTGTGTTTTCGTATCTTTGTTGTAGAAATCAGAACACAAAGCAGCATTTTATCAAGCTTTCTTTTCTGATTCTGCTATTGCCTCCCCCAGGGGTTCCTGCCCCTTTGTGGATTAATAAAATGTTAAAAGTAACATGAATTGTCAAAGAAAATGAGTGAATTTCAGTTCCGTGGTCGGAATTATTTGTGCGCTTGAAGCCTGTTATTTCCTAGTGATCAGCTTCATAAAATATCCCCCTTCTTTTCTGAAAGGGTTGGGATATGAGTGCCTGTTTTTGAAACCCAGAAGTTCACCTTTATAAATATTTCTGCATTTTATGGGCTTTTAGGATGTCGTCACCAGAGACCATTTCTGCCATGTGGAATTTTCACAGGAGTTGGCACAAACTGCCATCTGGCTTCTGCCTCTCTCGTTCCCCTAAAATGCCTGGTCAGGTCACCAGGGACTCCTGAGGTGCCAGGTCCCATGGGTTCATTAATCTCCATGGCGACTAGCTCGTCTGCTAGCTCGTCACAACTCCCCTGACCTCTGGTTTTCATTGTCATCTGAGTGATAGTTCTGTGCCCCGCCTGTGTGAGCTGCTGGGGTCATGAGATGACCGAGGTGTGATTTTTCACCCTCATGGAAATTATCCCCAGCAGTGGAAATGAGTGCACAGAGCAACAGGCACAGTAAGAGGTGCTTCGCATTGACCACTGAATGCCATATAGTGGTCATCTGCAAGGGTCTGTGGGGGTGGGAAGCACAGAGGACACACACCGGCTCTCCTTGGGTGCACATCATGTGGAACATCTGCCACCCCCTTCCAGTGCACACTATCACTTTGTCAACGACGGGACGTGAGAAGGTAGGAGCAAGGGAGCTGACTCTCGTACTTCACATGCTTTCTGTTATTGCGTTAGTTGGATCAGGAATAGCTGTGGTATGGAACAACCTACACACCCTATTGACTTAGCACCATGAGGCCTCACCTCTCATGTATTACAGTTCAGGGCAGCTTGGCATGGACCTTACACAACACCATCACTCAGGACCCAAGAGTCTGCATCTAGTGACTCCCTGGGCTTTAGAAACTTCCCGAATCCTTTGCTTTACCCTCTGCCTGAAAGAGGAGAGAGCAAACAAGCAGGTTTAGGTAGAAGACCTGTACAGGCTAAAGCAGAAGTAATATGGGTCATTTCTGCCGCTTGGTCATATGGCCCACCTAACTGCAAGGGAGGTTGGGAGATGTAGCTGTGTATCCAGGAGAAAAAAACCCTGAGGGATAAGTCTCCATCTTAGCCATGAAATCCTAGAAGTCCTACCTCCCAAATATCTTCCTGCTACTTCACCTCCAGTGTTACTGTGAGAATTCTTACGAGCTCTCTTTCACCTTCTAACTAGCAAGGATTTTCTAACCTCCTACCTTCAGACCAGCCTTTCATAGACAACCCTCAGTGGTAGCAGAAGAATCTTGCTACAATAAAAGTATGAGCCTATCACTCCTCCTTGAAGACCTGTAATGGTTCCCCACCCCCATCCTCAGCCACTTCAGTTACAAGCCCCGTGTTTGTTCCACATCTGCACACACCATCCTTCTTCCCGGGAACCCCCGTCTCCCCTGATGAGTTCCTGGCACCCCGACCCTGTATGAGGTCCCACATGTGAACTTCTTGGTGATGCTGAATTGCTCTTCCTCCATCCACCCACCGCGTGTCTGTTCCTGGGTTGCTCGTAGTCCCGGCAGGAAGGACATAATGAAGGGGCTGTTGGCAACTGTAAGGGAAATACCTGAGGGCCAGGGGTGCACGTGGAGCTAGCAGCTGCGGAAGGTGGTGCACATCGTCTTAGAGCCTCTGACGGTGTCGCGGTGCTGGACAGGTGTGTGGAGCAGGAGCAGAGGTCACTGTTGAGGTCGGAAGCGAGAGGCTGAGATGGACAAGACCCACTCTCTCTATGTCATCTTCCTCTCAGGATGACTCTGCCTGTGAGACCTGACCACCCCGCCAGGAGCACTAACCCCTAATCACCCCCCCCACTGGGCCCCACTCCTTAAGGGCCCCACCACCTCAACACCGCTGTGCAAGTAGCCAACCTTCCAGCTTTGGGGGCCACATTCAACAGCTGGGGGAGAAGGCTAGCAAAGGGGAGCCCGGGCAGAGCCGTCCTGCAGCTTTGGAAGAGAAATGTAGGCTTGGCTCCTACCCGCAGCAGCCTGGCTGGGAGGGGGCCGATGTCCTGACTGCTCTGCCACCTGCTCTGGCTCCCTGCTTCCGTCTCCTAGTTGGTCAGAGTGAGATGGGTGTAAAGGGCCAGGTGTGACCCGTGGGTCGGCTTCCCCGAGCATGAGCCAGGTGGGAAGGAGGGGCAGCAGGGTGAGTGGAGGATGTGTGGCACAGCTCTTCCTGTCCATGTTGTGGGGCCTAACACATAATACTAAAATTATCACAAACTATGAGCCTTTTTTTTGGTTTTTCTCTGGTACCGGGAACCGAACTCACGACCTTGCGCTTGCCAGGCAGGCGCTTTGCCGCTGAGCTAAATCCCCAGGCCCACTATGAGCCTTTTGAGCGCATGTCTTGACCATTTTTCTGAACCGTTGATGCCTAGTACAACCTTTAAAAGTTGTTAAAAATGATAGTCTTATCTTGGTCTGTTGCGGCTGCTATAACAAAAACGCCATAAACTAGCAAACTTGTAACAGCAGAAGTTTATTTCTCACTACTTTGAAGGTCAGAAAATCCAGGGCCAGAACACAGCACCAGCAGATTCGCATCTGGTGAGGCTCTGTTCTGTGGTCCCTAAACGCACTTTCTTGTGTCCACGTGTGACAGATGGGATGGTGCATTTCTCTGGGGTCCCTTTTATAAGGACACTAGTCCACTCGTAAGGGTCGTAGACTCATGTCCTCATCACCGTGAGGTTACTGTGACCTCACTCCTAACGCCATGATCCTTGGGGTTAGAATTTGAGCATACGATTTTGGTGTGGCAGCGGGGGGACTAAAACATTTAGTCCATTGGCGGTCCCATTTTAAATGTTTAAATTAAATCTTACAGTACATTATTACCTTTCTTTAAGGGCTGAAAGGTCATTTCTTAGAGTTGTTTTAGAAAAATAGAAGGGTTTTGTTTCGTCTTCCTGATCTGCCTCTTGTGCTCTTCCAGCCAGCCAGGCAGGACCCGTGAAATCTCCATGCCTTCCCGGAGCTACACCCCATACACCAGAGTCCTGGAGTTGACCACGAAGAAGACACTGACCTAAGCATGTGGTCACGTGGGGCACCAGCACTTTTTGATAAATAGACCAGTAACCCTGCTTCTTGAAGTCGGGAAGGGTTGACTGTCGTTTCCTCGCGTACACAGCGTAAGCAGTGTGGACATCGTGGCGGCTGTGATCTACTTCTAAGACAGGAAGAACTGCAAAGGTGGAGGGGGTCAGGCCGGGGAGAGGCCTACAAGTCGCATTTCAGGCACCCAGCCAATCCATCCCACTGTCAACATCATTATTGTTTGCTTGTAGACATTGAAGTCCGAAGAGGATTTCACAGTATTTTCTGTTTTGCTAGACTTTGGTTGGGAAGGAAATTAATTTGAAATTTCACATTATTCATGCCAGGATAGTTTGTTACAGTGTTTTGGTTTTGTTTACCCATAAAAGTATTACAGGCAGTGTTTCTCTGGCACAGAGAGGCCTATCCCTGAGAAGCAGGGGTATCTGGGGACCCCTGCACCCGGAAGGAAGGACTGCAGCGTGCAGTGTGCTCTCTTGGTCCTCGGGGTCTGTGCAGGACTGGGGGAGCCCTGGTTAAAGATATATGTGGGCCAGGCAAGCTTCCTTCCAGTGTGCTGCTCCTTTGTTTTAATTTGTGCCTTATGCCTTTATTGGGCCAGCTGAAATCACTGTATTTACTCAACCTGTGACTTTTTCTTCTCTCTCACTAACTTAAAGACAATTTTGTGTGTTGTGGAAATTAATCATGTAATGTTTTCAGTGTCAATTAGTATTCTGGTTAAATGAATGACTAAGCTGTCCATCCACGCTGTACTTTGATATCATAACCGATGTCACATATGTTTAATAAATGCCATATATTTTATTCTTCAAATGTTGTCTGTCTGTATCTTATCCATGACCATGTAGAAGACAGCAGATCAGGCCCAGGAATGACAGTGATCATCAGTCAGGATGATCCATAGAAGTACGTGTAAACCATAGGGTTGTGTGTGAAACATTCCTGAAATGTGTTAACATACCTTCTGAAAAGGATATACATTCGTGATCAAAATGCAAAAGGGGTTTTTCCTTTTAAGAACTCCTTTCCATTGTATATTACAAACTGAACTAATAAAAGTAAATATTTGAGAAGGAAATGAAGAGTTACATTTAAAAATAAACAAACAAGTAAATAAAAATCCCCTTCCCTTTTCCCAGCCTCCCTTTATTTCCCCCATTTTGAAAAAAATAAAACAACTGGGTTGACTAAATCATTGTGAGAGGGGATAGTAGAAAAGGAAAATATGCATTTTGGAAACAAATTTTCCCTTAAACTCCAGCTTGAGACCTTGGGCAAGTCATCAAAGCTCTTGGAATACAGTTTCATCCCCTAAAACTGGGCCATCACGCCTGCCTGGCAGCTGACATGTGGAGCCTGTCACACGGGGCCTGGCACTGCACTGGCGCTGAGGGGCGGCCACGACCACTTGAAGGTTTATGTGCTGCACTTCTAGCTCCTGGGTACCCCTTGCTAGTAGAGGTGTTGAGATCGCCAAGGAGCAAGGGAGAGATGCTGGACTCAGAGAACAGTTTCTAAATGAAATATGCTGATTTAAAGAATGGTTTTCATGAGCCCAAAACTGAGATGTGAAAACACTTACACATGCCTCCTTTCTTTCTTAAAACATGCAAGAGGAAAAAAGTAAATAAAAAAGGAAACAAATAGAGGTTTTAACTTTAAAGAATGCCAGAGATCATTCTAAATCAGGCTCATTGTATTTTTAAGTGTCCAAACACTCCTGGTTTAACAACCAAGTTCTGTTCGTGCAACTAGGTCATTAAATGAATCGGTCACTAAAGGAGGACTTGTATAGAGTACGCACATTACAATATTTCGAGCAAAGAAATGCTCAGAGGAAACTCCAACTTGATGACTTTGCTCTTTATCTACATAACTCTTCCATGCAGTGCTGTAATGTACAACGGAACATAAAGTTACAGTACTGTACTGCACAGCACAATCAGCAAAAATGACAGTGCTGTAGAAGCCACTGCATGGCTGCCCTGCACCATAAGTCGCAGTGCAGGTCATAAATCCAAACAGTGCGCCTCGGTTGTAAGTCCAAAAAGTTGTTGAACAAATAAGTCATTAAATGAGGAATATTGGTATCTTCAGCATGTGGAGGCTTTTAAACATTATTTGAACTATTCCAGAAGACTTTTAAAGAGCGTTCCCACACTGTGTCCCACAGACAGACGCTGAGAATTCTTATAGATCCTTTGTCCAAATTACCTCTCACAACCCTGATTCTCAGTCTGAAAGAGTATCACTTCCCAACCCCCTCATGAGCACAGGCGTAGAGGCAGCTTCTTGTCACTGTGACAAAATACCTGAGAAAAAGAGTTTAAAGGAGGCAAGATTCATTTTGGCTTACGGTTTCAGAGACTTCAGTCCATGGTTGACAGGCCCCATTAGGGTGGACCTGTGCTGTGGACCTGTGCTGACGCAGGACATCATGACAGAAGAGTGTCATGCAGCAAAGCTGCTCATGGTAGTGAGGAAGCAGAGAAGAGAGAAACAGCCAGAGAAGGGACCAGGGCTGATATATAGTCTCTAAGGTAACATGCCCACGACCCACTCCCTCCACCTCGGCTGCATCTCTACATTTCTATCACCTCCCAGTAAGGCCATCAAGTTATGATCTCATCAATGGATCAGTCCACAGATGAGGTTAGAGCCCTCATGAGTCAAACTCCTGAAGTTCCACCTTTGAACACATGAGGCTTTTGAAGTATACTTCAGAGCTAAACTATAACAATGTGTATTATGTAGAATTGAGGTATATTACATAGTAAATGCACCTATCTGAAATGAATAGCCCTAATACATGTAAGAGGGTTTTTATAAATAAAAACCTCCTATAATAGTGCTTCAAATTATTTTCATCCCAATCCCTCCAGACTTTTTTAAACACACACACACACACACACACACACACACACACTTTATTGCTTAATTTAAAAAATAAATATGGGCCTCTGTTGAGAAGCATGATCCTGTGGGTCTTAAGAACATGGGCTCTGCAGTCCCGGCTCTGTGCTTTGTCACTAGTGTGTGCCTGGGTTCCTCACAGAGCTCCCTTGAGCCCTGTAAAGTGGGAGTGGTGACAGTTTGTTTCTAGTACGGTCGATGTGAAGAATAAATGATTTAGCCCTTGGGCAGTTCTTAGACTAGTGCATGTTACCCAGTAAGCACTTAGTCAATGCTACCTCTTATCCGTACACACCTTCATAACCACTTTTTGGTTATTTTAATCATTTTATGTGTGCACATATATATAAAATCCATGCTATTATTTTATGTAGTTAATTGGACTATGTTTCACTGATTCTGACCTGTGCCCCAATGTTGGAATTTTGGAAGTTGTCTACTCCTTGTGAAGCCCTTTGAAAGCAATCCTCTGATGAACTGTTTTGTGCACTTGTCTTTGTACACTCCCCTGTTTTTACCTTCAGGATAAATTCCTAGAAGAGTAACTTCAGCCCCAAAGTTATGTGAATGTTAAGCCTTTTCGTGCATAGGGTCCAATTTGTCTTATGGAAATTTGGGTCCCTTCAAACATCAACAGGTTGAGCATATGATTTCCTGAGGCCTTGGCCAACACTGAGAAGGAGAAATGGAGAATGTAAAAAACTGCTCATTTGAGGCAAACCTATTCCCTAAAACAGTCCGGGAGAAGGTTCTCCCAGCACAGTGTCTTCGGCTACCTGAGTGCAGGCAAGTGCAGGTGTGCTCTGCATGCCCGGAGCTGTCCCCAGGGCCCAAAAGTGTCTGGGAAGCTAGGAGGAAACAGCACTACTCTGGGGATCGGGCCCCCCAGAACCCAGGAATCAGAGAGAGCAGCTGCTCAGTGATCCAGAGTCAAGAGTCACTCCCAGGGACAGAAGAGACTCAGGTGGGGCACACTGCAGAGGGAAGGTTTCAGGGCCAGCCTGGGAAAGAGGACCAGAATCTGGGAAATGTTTGCCTCTGGGGATGTGACAAGGTCTACCTGCTGGAGGGAGCACTGCCTCAGTCACTGTCCTCATCCCTGAGACTTGGTCCTTGACACCTACAGCTTAATGGCAGGGAGATTCGCTTGGGCTCACATGACAGTCCATAGTCAGCTGGCACCAAAGCAGAAACTGCATGGCAGAGGGGCATGGTGGAGGAAAGTCACATGTATCACGGCAGCTAAGAAGCAGAGAGAGAAAAGAGGAGCTGTGGGGAGAGATAGGCCCTTCCAGGTCGTGCCCCCAATGTCCCACCTCCAGCTACGCCCACCTTCTAATAGCACATTCAGCTGCTGAGCTCACCAGCAGATGAACCCGAGGATGAGCACGGTGTCCTGTGATCCGATCACCTTCCAAGAGCCCCACCTTAGAATGCATGAGGCTTTGGGGGACGTTCTAGATCTAAACCACACCTGAGGCCACTCCGTGAGCCAGTCTAACTATCACTCTGAGTGCCCCTCACTCTCCTGCGAATGTGATCTGCCTGCTCTGGGCACGCGAGGGTGGCCACCGGACAAGGGCGAGGGTGGCAGGAAGGGTAGGACTCTCCTGACTGGCTCAGGCCACCCTGGGCCACACTCCTCTTTGTGACACGTAGGCTCGGAGGCCTCTTCAGCTGGGTGAGAGGATGCCAGGTGCTGGGAAGACAAACGCATGTGACTCAACATGCTCATCCTTTCCGAGACCACTGCCAGCTTCTCCTGCTCTCTCCTGTCTCTGAATCCCATAGGTACTTTTTTTGGCCCACTCTTCAGCCTTACATTGAATGACTGGTCATCATATCCATTTCTTGTTTCTCCAGTGGTGTAAACTGCTTGGGGCAGTTTCCCATAGAGCACACACCTGTCATTTGGAGGGAGTCCATTTTAAACCCCGGTAGGCATGCAGAAATCTACAGTGAAAAGTGTAGTATTGCAGAAAGAGCTTTGAACGACAGAAGTGAAGACCCGGAGCGACTGAGTAAGATAAGGTACACGTTCAGAGTCTTCATCACAGTCCAGCTCAGAAAACACTATCATTTCCATTTTGTGGGTAAGAAAACTGAACCCAAAGACATGTAAAATGGCCCCAAATCAGCCAGGCCCATCTGATTTCAGAACACAGCAGGAGGCTTAATTCAGTCCCAGGCCTGCCATTAAACTGCCCTTGTTCAGATGACTATGGCTCTCTAAGAATTTGCACCCCAGTGTGTAGCTTTGATTCTGAAGGAAATGGAAATGCACCCCCATAAACACTTGCTCTTCTAATTACTCGATAGCATGGACAAATTTCCTGACACTGCACCAGAGAAATGCCAATAACTGATATTTGCTATTGTTGTTTGTAGTCATGGGAAGAAAGTTTTGAACAGCGAATATTTGCAAACCCACAGATTTCCTCTTGCTGGACACATTATTAGAGACTGTATCAGTCAGGTTTTCCACTGCGAGGACAGAATACTTGACACTACTTAAAGGAAGAGAGCTTTATTTGGCTCACGGTTTGAGAAAGTTTAGTACATGGTCAGCTGGTTCTGAGGCAGGAATATCAGGATGGTGGGGGATGATGGAGCAAATTTTCTCACTTCTTGGAAGTGAGGAAGCAGTGCACAGTGGAAGAGTGCCGGCAAGGAAGGGAGCAAGTATCAGGAATAGTTCCTGAGGCCACGCCTTGGTTATCTACCAAAATAGTGCTTTACTAACCCCCTGGAGGATCTCAAGACAATCGAACTGACAATTAAGTTGTCACAGAGATCTAATGAATACCAGTAAATGAGATTTTGCAGAAGGAATATAAGAAGAGTATCAGTCACTTTTCTAACCCTACAAAGGAATACCAGATGCTGAGTACTTTGGAAAG